TGAAAATGTTGATGGAAACAAATGTACAAATGTGCTTGACAAAATGGATGGCTGTATGGATTGTGCTAAGAGCTGTACGAATTCCCAATAAAATGATTAAAAACGAGAGACAGGGAGACACTCTAAGACTTGCTCTGGAACATAAAGACGCTAAAGAGAATAGAAAAAGTATGAAAGAGATAAGCAGAAAAGAAGACACAGTAAAGCATTATAATGAACTCTTCCGAGCTAGAAAACAAAACGGGAAGAACACACACAGCATATCTCAACCTAAAAGAACTGAAGACATCGTTCAAAAGTCAAGGTGCAATACTGAGGGATCCTCAGGACAAATGATTGAATGATTCAGGGTGCAACAAAAGATAGGACTACACAAGTTGTTATACCAAGAAACAAAAAAACAACAACAACAAAACCGGTCAACATTCAACATTCCAAGAGGCAGCATAAGATCAAGAACCAATGGTACTGAACGAAGTTGCACTGAGGCATTAGTGAAAAACAAGGCTCCTAGGACTGATGAAATAGCAATTGAAATGTTTCAAGAAACCGATGCAGCGCTGGAAGCACACGCTAGTCCATGTAAAGCAATTTGGACGACAAGCAGCTGGCCCATGGGCTGGAAGAGATCATTATCTGTGCCCATTACAATAAAAGGCGACCCAACAGAATGTAGAAATGGCAGGACAGTACCACGAATATCGTGTGCAAGCACAATTTTGCTGAAGATAATTGAAAACTAGTTGTAGCAGTCCACTGACAAGGAGCTGCCAGAAATTCAGGTCAAATTCAGAAGAAAATGTGGGAGGGATATTACTGTTGAGGTCAGATGGATGGTGATTAAAAGCAAACAGTACTTGCATGTCATTGACTACTCAAAGGCATTTGATTGTATGGATGCTTAAAAAGTATAGATAACATAAAAAATTAGTTCTTAATTAACTAAAAGCATAGATAACATTGAGGAGATTGGGAGTTCCAGGACAATGAATTATGCTCATGAGGAACCTAAACACAGACCAAGAGAGTTAGTCGTTCAAATGGAACAGGGGCGTCCTCTCACCACGCTTATCCAATCTGTAGCCGAGCAAACCATCTGGGAGCTTGACTGCAGGACAAAGAATGTGGCTTTAGAGTTGGAAGAGAGTTCATTAGCCACCAAGTCTGTGTGCCAAAGCCGCGTCCCCGCTGGTGCATACCAAGGACTACTGCCTTCTGCATGGATTACCAATCAGTGTAACTCGCTGCCAGAGAGTCGGCTCGGACTCAGAGGGACCCTCTATCAGTGTAAAGAAAACACAGACACAACTGGACCTGAAGATAACAGCTTGAGAAACGGACTGCAGGGTCATCTTCCCTTACGCACACGAGGTGACTGGGAAGGAACGCGCAACAAAATCAGTGGGGAAAAATGAACAGGTCTAGAAAAGGATACACCACGCACCATAAGGCAGAGACAGAAAGCACCAAACTAAACTAAACCACACTCAATGCCACACTCAATCCTGACTCCCGGTGACGCTATAGGAAAGCGTGGAACTGCCCCTGTGGGTTTCTGAGACCAGAACTCTTTACAGAAGAGCCCTTGTGGTGCAGTGGTTATGCACTGGGCTGATAACCCCAAGGTCAGCAGTTTGAACCCACCAGCCATTCATTCTGTGAGCAAAAGACTTGGCTTTCTACTCCTGTAAAAAGTTACAGAAAGCATACACTCCTTAATATAAAGGGAACAACACCCCCCCCCAAAAAAAACCCCACAAAACCTCCATCAGTGTGGAATCAATTCTGGCACACAGGGACCCTGTAGAACAGACTATAACTGTTCCTTAAGGTTTCTAAGTTTGTAATTCTTAACAGGAATGGACAGTCTCATCTCGTTCCCATGAAGCAGCTGGTGAGTTTGAACCTTATCAATGCTAGCAGTCCACTGCTTAGTTCACAGCACCACCAGGGATCTATACTCATGTGGTTCAAAAAATGTAAATGAGGATGCTCTTTCTCAACATAGTGACCAGGATGCCAGGGTCCGTACATTTAGTACATCTCGCCAGGACAATATTTCTCAAGTAGCAAAAACACTGACCACAGCAGGGAAGGGTTCTGACATCATGTGTTAAATGTAGTGGGAGTCATTCAGAACCCTCAAGATTTAAATGAGATTTCACAGTTGAAAAATTCCCAATAACAACACACAAACTGATCTAGAAGTGTTCTTCCAGTGGAAAGTGTAAATCCAAGAACTTAAAGATACCCATCTCATATGCTAAAATCCTCTAGCAAAAGAAAGAAAGAAAGATTCATTTTGGATTCCAATTTTAGACAGTGGAGAGGCATCAAAAATTATGGGAATTTTTGGACATTCCCTTACAGAAGAGTCACAGGAAGAGACGAGCCAGTCAGGGTGCAGTACAACACCGTTGAAACATACACCTTTCTTCTAGTTCCTTAATGCTTCCTCCCCCTGCCCCCCACTATCATGACCTCAATTCTACCTTACAAATCCAGCTAGACCAGAACATGTACATGGGTACAGATAAGAGCCGGAAACAGGGAATCCAGGACCTATAAATCCCTCAAGACCCATATTGAGACTAGCAATACAGGAGGGTAAGGGGAAGGTGGGGGAGAAAGGGGGAACCGATCACAATGATCTCCATACAACCCCCTCCCAGGGGGCCGGAAAACAGAAAAGTGTGTGAAGGGAGACATCATCCAGTGTAAGACATGAAATAATAATTTATAAATTATCAAGGATTCATGAGGGAGGGAGGGGAGAAAGTGAGGAGCTGATACCAAGGGCTCAAGTAGAAAGAAAATGTTTTGAAAATGATGATGGCAACACCTGTACAAATGTGCTTGACACAATGAATGGATGTATGGATTGTGATAAGAGTTATACGAGCCCCCAATAAAATGAATAATAAAAAAATTATGGGAATTTAATACCAAATCTAGGTAGGTAGATGAGAAGACACAGATTTAGATTAAGCCTCAACAAAATAGGAATAGAAGGGAAATTCCTTAACATATTGAAAAGGTATATAGGCAAAAGTAAAGACCATTAATTTGCTCAAAGGGAAGTTGTGTTGGACAGGGTTCTCCAGAGAAACCAAACCAGGACACTTTATATATATATACAGCATGAAGGAATATAACAGCTAATTATTCCACACAGTCCATACATTGGGCTCAGTTCAACTCACTTCTGTGGAATAGTTAATATACTGGAAGTCCTTCAACTCACGAGGGCTGCTGGGTTCAAGGTCAAGGAAGCAGACAGCTGAGTCTTCCCCAGAGGCAATGCAGGCAGTCCTTCCACAGGCAGCAAACAGCAGGGCGGGTCATCAACAGTCAGCAGCTCAGGAGCTTAGCGAAGCAAGCCGGATGGAATATCGAACTCAAGCAGTGCAAGATGACAGGATCTAACAGCCTCAAACTCAAGCAATGTGGCGAAGCAGATCTCGACGGAACCTCAAGCTCTAGTGACACGATCCATGGATTGGCTGTCCAACAGGTAATGTAGCTCACAAGTTGAGGCAGAGGACTAGCTAACGCAGCCACACACTGGTCTGATCACCAGAGAGCAAGGAGAGGGGGCGGGGCTTGCTGAGCCATTTATCTCTTTGCCCTTCAATAAAACTGGATTAACAAAATTATTAATCCCACATGTTTCTATTGGCCAGGTTGGCAAAATGAACCTACCTATCACAGGAGTAGAAACTAAAAGCTTTAGGGAACCGTGCTTCTTACACACCTGAGAAAGCCCAGGCAAATACCTTTGCCACTGGAAAAAAATAATGGGTGTAGAGACCCCAAATCTGAGTCAGCCTGACTCTCTTCCCCCATCCCCATTCCTTTAGCTCCACCTACGATCCCATAAAGTTAAGGCTTTTCCTACCAACTCTCCCCCCTTATCACTCCATCACACAGTGCAAGAGGTTAAGCAGAAGCTTTCGAACTGGGACAAGAAGGGCTCTAGGGGCCATAACTGCTGCCTTCTTCAGCCTCCAGTCAGGGGAATTCCAACACTCAACCCAAATGGACCACTCAGGCCTAGGACAATGTGGCAGTTACATAATCTTTTGTCAACTTGAAGTGTAGGGGTGGAGTCTAGTCTATCATCCAGGTCATAGTCAATGAGGCCTCTGTGTGGGCATGGCCTTCTCCTGCTGGGAGACATTCCTGTTGACAAGCCACATGGAGATCAACTGATGGCGCCTGGTCTGTGATCTTCCTGCATTCGGCATCATTGCATGGCTGCATGAGTCTAAAGGGGAATATATGGACTAGTATCGGACACATGGGCTGATATCAGACTTATTAACTCGATCTGGACTGGGATGTTTCTTCCTTTTTTCACTTTCTAAATCATTTTATTGGAGGCTTGGGATATTTCTTAATATACAATTGCTCTTTGATATAAAGTTCTCTCGTAAATATATATATATGTGTCAAAAGAATTTGTTTTTCTAGTCTACCCAGACTCACACAGGGATGCTGATGCTCCATGGTGCCAGCTCTGAGTCACACAGGTGACCTCAGGCTTCCCAGGCTTGAAAAGCCACATTACAGACGATGGACCCACTGACAGTAGAGCATGGATGCCTTCCATGACTCACAGAGAACTCCAGCACCCCTAGCACACAGTTGGTCCCCTGAGCAGTTCATCTTTAACCTCATCCCCATGTGCCCTGTCACAGCACTCTGGAGTACTCACCATTTCCTTGCTCCAGCTTCTGGCAGTCTAACTGAATGTCCTCTGTAGCCCAGGAAGCCACTGCAGCAAGAGGGATGAGAGTGGAAGTGGAACCACTGGGCAACTGAGAGGAGGAACAGTATCCAGTCCTTGCAATCCTTTCTTGTGATTTACACACACACACAAGACGGTATCCTAGCTGCCAGCTGCCTAGACTGGATTCTTCTTCCCCGAGACACACCTGGGGGGATGGGAATAGAAAATGTTGAATCAAGAGGCATTTCTTGGCCTTCAGCTCTTTTCCTGGGCAGGGAGGGCTTCCCCCATGCTAAAGGCCTGGCTCCCCTTGGGAGCATCTGCATGGAAGGCCGTATGGGCTCCCACCTTGCAATAGAGGTAAACTCTGGGCAAAACACTGTCATTCAAGGTTTAGCAATAGGGGACATTTACTAGGAAATAACACCCAGCCCCCCAAAATGCATAGCGGGGTGTGCTCCAAGCCCCTTTGAACAGGGCACAGGAAATAGCCTTCTGATCATAGGAAATGCTACCAGTCGTCAGTCTGCTGTCGGCTCCTCCCAACACCTATCAAGCATATGGCTCTCCTCTACCAGTAGGGGGAACTCCTCACTAGATTTAACTAGTCAGGAGGCCATCCGGCTTTTACCAAATAATGAACCTACTGCCTTTGGGACAGGAATCCCCGGTCCATTACAATCCTAACAATCGGGCTTTTGTTAGGGAAATCTAATTTGAATGCTCTCAGTGTGCAAACTATCACAGATGTCATTAATCAGGAATATAAAGAGAAATTAAGGTGATGGTTAGATCCCCATGTGTCCTGGACCATAAGAAGGGGAGACATCTTAGGGCAACTGTTGCTACCCCCTTATGCTCCTATAAATAAAAAGGATACCATTAAGGAAAAAGCAGCAGGAGAGGCAGGCCTATCCAGGAGTCATGGGATATTCTGGAGTGCGATTTGAGACAAACAGAGCAGAGCGTCCATTTATGGAGCTGACAATTGAGGGAAAGAAATTCTCAGGTCTCCTAGATTCAGGGGCTCATCTCTCTGTCATGAGCTATCAACAGTGGCCCAAAGCCCTGGCCGCTGGCCTCTCCAGATTTTACCATGGGAAGAATAGGAGAGTTAGGTCAGGAGAATGTAAGGCAGAGCAGGAAAATCTTGCAGTACACAGGCCCTGAGGGACAATCTAGACTCATAAAACCTGTGGTAACTCTCACCCCATTAATCTATGGGGAAGAGATCTATTACAGCAATAGGGGTATAGCTCAGTCAGTAGAACAGGAGACTCTTAATCTCAGGGTCATGGGTTCATGCCCCACACTGGGCATTGTTTGTTGGGGCTGGGTCCCCCCACACAACCTCCTAGAACACACACCTATATGGGGATCTGCAATGATTGGTTATTAATATAGGGGGAGGGGGAGAGTCACAAGCCTACATCTATAACATACATTTTGGTGCCTTGTGGATTTAAATACTAATTTTTTTAACGGAGGTGATGCTAATGGCATTAGACTTAAGACTTATCAAACAGAATATTAAATTTAGTGCACTCATTACTTGACTTTTGGCAGGGAATTTGGTTTTCTGTGAAAGTTTACAAATTGTGCTGTTTGACTTTTTAGTGTTGATATCGTCTTCCAAAATTTTTTTCTATAGAAAATGATTATCCCTTTGCAGCTCTTACATTCAATCTATTTGATATACATATAACACAGCTCACTGCCATCAAGTAGATGCTGACTCACAGTGACCCTATAGGACAGGGTAGAAACCACCCTGGTGAATTCACCAGACTGTAATTCTCAACGGAGTAGAAAGCACTATCTTCCTCCCTCGGAAAGGCCAGTGGCTTTGAACTGCTGGCTTTATAGTTAGCAGGCTGATACATAACCACTGTGCCGCCAGGCTTCCTGATATACACATACCACCCTCATTCTCACGTCTGGTTTAAAAAGGAACATTCTCTAATCCCGTCACAGATGCTACTCATTCCTTGACATAATCCCTTTCACTATAGAGTCTTTATATTCAAAGTGATGTACAATAGACCATGCTATAGTCGTGCATTCCACATTTAAGTAATACTTTGTAAAACCACCATTACGAAGGATGTCACACTGTAGTATGGTTGATTCTGATTTGTTTCAGTATGTTGGTTACCTTTCATTTGTCAAGCCTAGAAATACATGTGGAAAATGTAGCCAAGTCTGAGAACATGGCAAAGCCTAGTCTTCTGAGAGATAACGTACATCTTAAGCAATAAAAAGCCGTTTTTTTCTTTACGTTTCTGTGTAATGAACCCTCAGAATAGCCTACATCACAGACAAGATGGTTGCAGCAGGCGGTGACCCCCTCCACCTCCCCCAGGCCTGTCTGAAGAAGAACGGCTTTCAGGAGACATTATGATGAATATCCAAAATGACTCCTGGACACCATTTGGACGTCTCTTGGGCTATGAGAACTACATACTAACCCACGTGTGTTGTCCCGTGTGTGAACTGCACGCTTGACTAATAAATGTGCTTGAACTATTTTCAAGTTGAATTAGAGTCCTCAGTACAGAACACTTGCTTGTCTGCCCTCATTCTTAACATTTCCTGCTCAGACACTGGGAAAGCGACCAGGCTTTGCTACAAGAAATCTTCAACCTATGAAGAAGGGTGATGTTTAGTTCCTAGAAACTGTGGCTCAATCACCAGAGTGTAATCCTGCACAAATCTTGTCTCAGCCAACGTTTAAGACCCGAGACGGGGTGCTCAATACATCGATCACAATCTACTAGTTGATCGCAAATGTAGTGTGGGTAGATTGCATGACATTAAAAAAATAGACTTAACTCTATCACCAATCCCGTCACGTAACTGATATAGAGCACAGCCAATCAGATGCAATCTTAGGTGTCAAACTCATGCGCATGCGCAAACAACTGCGCTAAGTGCAGCAAAACTGATAAGCTAAATTATCGCCAATTTCTAGACCTTGGTTTTTTTCTCTTAAACGTAAGAAAGGGTATTAAAATGAGTGGGGAGCTGGACCAAGAGAGAAGGCAAAAACGTATCACTTTCATATGGAATGGGAGATTTTGACACTACAAGCCGACATTCAGCTGAAGTCCAGAGCACATGTACAGTTCTGGAACTAACTGGCAGAGGGAAAGTACCCAAACGTGAGAAAATGTGCTCCCTCCTTGACTGCGTTATTCGGCTCTACTTATTGATGTGAATCAGCCTTTTCCCACATAAAGATCATTAAGTCCAAGTACCGTTCCACCATGACTGATGATCATTTGGAAGTGTGCTTGAGGCTGGCCGTCAGCAACTACTGTCCGGACTATGCATCCCTGGCTCATTCCACTCAGTGCAAGTCATTAGAGTAAACTCAGGTAATGACAAAAAACGTACATAATTAATTATGTTCTCAGTGTATTCAAAAATACATGTAATAAATAAGTAAAAATAAATGTTTTGCATTTTTGTAGTTGGTAGATCATTTTGACTTGATCATTTTATAAGTAGCTCGCACGCTGAAAAAGTGTGAGCACCTGCCCCAGAGGGACACGCTGGCCATGCGATTCCTACGCGTGGTTCAATGCCTGCGGTATGCTTGGTCAGCCACACCACAGTTCGCACTGCCTCTCACCCAAATCGTGACCAAAATGTCTGCCTTGCAGACAATTCTTCGCAGCGTGGCTTTTCCTAGACATTTTTCCTCCTGAGATGGGGCTAAGTGTGGTCCTAAGTAGAGGGCCCTGGTGGCGCGGAGGGATCGGCCTTTCACACACACCGGCCACCCCCAGGGAAAAGGTGCAAAGGTCTGTAGCCTGGGAAACCACTAAGTGGCAGTAGTGGGCGGGTGGGGGCTTCGAGGAAGCCTTTGACTCGTGTTTTCCAAGATGCCAAGTGAAGCCGACTTGTGCTTGGCGATTTACCCGACTTTACCTGTTCAGGGAAAGACACGAGTCCAGCCCATCTACTCTGCCTGCCGTCGGGCCCTCGGCCGCGCAGAAGGGAGCCGCGGCGGCGGCGGCGGCGGCGGGAGGGCAGACAGGCCCGGACGCAGCACGGGACCGGGGACCCCGCGGGCAAACCTCGGCACCTCCCCTTCCCCAGGTACTGCGGCGGCGGGGGCGGGACCCAGGGAGGCGCACTTCCGCTTCCGGGTTCCGGGCGCTGCGAGCGGAAGGGGCGGGGCCGGAGGCGTCACCCGGGGAAGCGGTCGCGCGAGTCCACGGCTTCCTCTTGGGTTAGGTCTGTGTCGTCGGCGCTCTTTGTTTCTTCTTCGGGGATTTTAGAGGGACGCCGCTGCCGTCACCCAGAGGCAGGTGTCCAGGTTTCCGCACAGACTGCGGGTCGTTGGAGGACCCGGCCCACTCATCGCGGAGACGGTGACCTTCAGCCAAGCCAGGCCCTCGGGAGAGGCGGATGCAAAGGCACACAGACACAGAAATACGGCAGCCCCCCCGTTACCCGAGCGAGCCCGGGGAGTGAGCCAGCCACATGGCGCAGGGGCACGTCGCGGGGCGCGAACCGCCGCTTAGGCTCAGGGCCGCCCACTGTCCGGGAAGCCGGAGACCCGACGCGGCCCCTGCGCCCCGCTTTAGAAGGGAAGGGAAGACGACTGGTGTTCTCACGTTGTCTTCCTTCACCTTGTTAGGGACGTCTGATCATGGGATTGGGCGAATTGGTATACTTTGAAAAGCAATTCTGGGCTAACAAGTCTGATCTAATTGCTACGTGCGTGTAAGTTTGGCAAGTGAAAGCCCGGCACTTGTTAGGGCAAATAGATGTCTCAAATAAAAGCAAAAATATTTCAAATAATGTCATGAGCGGCACGATCAATAATTAACGCTCTTAGACGTTTTCGAATGCTCCCTTTATTCACTGCAAACACACATCAAACAATCTAAAATCTTAAAATTAACTCAAACTACCAAGTGTAAGAATAGCAGGGCAAGTATAAGGGCAGCATCATAGTCCCAATAAGCATTGCCTTCATGGGTGTACTCACCCCGGGTAAAGTTGGACAGAGCAGAAGTTGATGTCTCCTGGGTTCCTAGCTCACTGAATTCTCAGCCTCTCTACCCGGGTTTAAATAGGCAGTTTGGCTGGCTCTTTGCTATCAGCCAAATCTTATCGGGGTTCCCCAAACTTTTGAGGGTGGCTCTCCTGACCATCTGTTGGATCTTGGCAATGGCCCAATTTTGGGTTAGGCCTGAATGTTGCTGTATTTCTTAAGAATAGAGTTCCTTTTTTTTCCCCTCAAGGTATTTATTCATTCACTTTGAGAATGGAGTTTCTTAATGTTGCTTTTCATAACGTGGCTCAACGTCTTGCAAGGAAGTTCTATAATGCTCTTATCAAATAAGCAAATAAAAAATAGAACTTGCCACCACACATTCATACTCCTAACAATGTCCCCAACAGAGAAGGAAAAGTCTGAAGAAAACCCCAGACCCGTTGCACTGATGGGAAGCTTGTAGGACAGAGTTGAGCTGCCGCTTTGGGTTCTGAGTGCTTATGGAGGAGTTGGAGCACCCGGTTGGCAGAAGGCTGCGGGTAACGTTGGGGCCCTGCCGGGTCAGTGGGGTATGAGGTGGGCTGCTAGCGGTAAGATCATGTCATGAGCGGCGCGATCAACAATTACTTTACACTCTTAGACATTTTCTAATGCTCAGTTTATTCACTGCAAACACATCAAACAATCTAAAATATTACTCAAACTACTAAGGGCAAACAACTATGAGCATAAGGGCAGAATAACAACACTCCTCACACATTTCATAATAGCACCATAGTCCCAATCAGCATTGCCTGATTGGTGTACTCACCCTGGTAGAGTTGGAGAGAGCAGGAGATGATGTCTCCTTGGTTCCTAGGTCTCTGTAAGTCAGTGTCTCTACCTGGGTTTAAATTGACATTTTGGCTAGCGCTTTGACGTCTTCACTGTCCCAGTCAAGTCTTGTCGGGTCTCTCCACGCTTTAGTTGACTCTGCTGGATTTTGGGCGTCCATCAGATCTCAGTCCAGTCTTATCAGGGTTCCCCACATTTTTGTGGTGGCTCCTTGGAGCAGCTATTGATTTGGGCCCCAATGTTACACTTTATTTCTTCTCTAAAATGGAGTTTCTTGTGTTTGTTTCTTTGAGGTGGCTCAACGTCTTGCAAGGTAGTTCAATGTCTTGCAAGGAAGTGCTATGGTGCTCTCATCAGATCAGCACTTAAAAACTACCGGCTTCTCCTCAAGAAAAAGATGTTTTTTATTTTAATTAACTACTTTTATTGGGAGCCCTTACAGCTTGTACCACTATCCATACATTCATCCATTGTGTGAAGCACATTTGTAGAGATGTTGCTATCTTCGTTTTCAAAGCATTTTCTTTCTACTTGAATCCTTGATATCAGCTCCTTTTTTTTGCTAACTCCCCCACCCTCCCTCATGAACCCTTGATAAATTATAAATTATTATTTTCATATCTTACATCCTCTGCTGTCTCCCTTCACCCACTTTTCTGTTTGTCCTGGGAGGGGGTTCTATGTTCATCCTGGTGATCTGTTCGCCCTTTCTCCCAAGATGGGGTTTTTTACTCCTGTAAAGAGTTAACACTCACAGAGGCAGTTCTGTTCACCCTATAGGGTCTCTGTGAGTCAGAACTGACTGGACAGCAGTGAGTTTGAGCTCTTATGAATAGCAGTGAAAGCCCAAAACCCTTATGCCGAGGCCCTGAATGCATTAAACTTCCACTGAAGGAGCCTTGGTGTGTTAGGTCTTTCAGCGACAAAAGACAGAGTGAGACCTTTTATTAGTAGATTTATTGAGGGAGGTGAAGTTTTTAGGGAACAGGAAATCAAAGGAAATGACGTGAAAAGAGTTTAGAATAGCCAGACAAAGAAAGGTTAGAGCTGTCCCTTTGTTTAAAGCCAGAGGATTAGCTAACTTAAAAGGTATAAAGTCCACGAGAGCCCCTATTACGTAGAGGATGAGAAAATTAGGTCTAATACGGACCCACTACCAAACTACAACAGTTTGGCCAGGCAAGAGTTAAGCGTCTGTGGTGCCCCACCCATAGCAGTTAAAGGACTCTGCTGCCACACCAGCCCCCCACCACCACCTCACCCGCTTCTGCTGCGGAAACCAGCCAAGAAAAGGCACCCCACCCCACCCGCTCTTCTGCTGCGGAAACCAACCAAGAAAAGGAAGCGTCTAAGCAAGTGAGAGGGAAAGCCAGCATTTCAGGTAGTGAGCTGGGGTGAGAGGCAAGAGGTGCAGGAGAGCCAACTGAGAATAGCCAGAGCAGTCAGCGCGCAGCAGTAAGAGAACAAAGGATCATTTCTGTCTCAAGCCTGCAAAACAGACTAAGTCCTGAGTCATGACATGATGCTGAACTCACACGTTTGTTCCTCAAAGGGAGCACACATTTTATCATCAGTATATATCCTAACTTAAAATTTTGTCATGAGCGGCGCAATCAATAATTACTTAACGCTCTTGCACATTTTCAAATGCTTGGTTTATTCACTGCAAACATCAAACAATCTAAAATATTACTCAAGCTACTAAGGAGAAACAACTATGAGCATAGGGGCATAATAACAGCACTCTTCACACATATCATTCTAGCATTATAGTCCCAATAAGCATTGCCTCATCAGTGTGCTCCCCCGGGTAGAGTTGGAGAGAGCAGGAGCTGATGTCCGTGGTTCCTAGCTCTCCACAAAGTCAGTGTCTCTACCCAGGTTTACATGGACAGCTTGGCTGGCACTTTGCCGTCTTCACTGTGCCAGTCAAGTCTTAACAGGTTTCTCCACACTTTAGGTGACTTGGCTGGCTTTTGGGCGTTAGTCAGGTCTCAGCAAGTCTTATCAGGGTTCCCCACACTTTTGCGGTGGTTACTCAGATCAGCTGTTGATGCTTAGCGATGGTCCAATTTTTTGGCTGGGCCCTAAAGTCACACTTCATTTCTTCTCTAAAGTTGAGTTTCTCGTGTTTGTTTCTTTGAGGTGGCTCAACGTCTTGCAAGGTAGTTCAACGTCTTGCAAGGGAGTTCTATGGTGCTCTCATCAGGTTCCCAAGCATCTTTCTGGTTGGTGTAGATAACTCCAATGGGCCGGGCACCAGCTTTGGCGGGCTGAGGTCACTTAATCAGGCAGGAAGATGGGCAGAGTAAGCTTTGTAAACAGAAGAAATGTCTGCTGCTCTCCTTACTAACGCTGCCACCAGAGCCTAGATGGTGGCAGTGTGGTTATGTGTTGGGCTGAGATTCACAAGGTCAGCAGTTTAAAAATACCAGCAGTTCCCGGGGAGAAAGACAGAGCTTTCTACTCCTGTACAGTTGCAGTCTCTGAAACTCACAAGGGCAATTCTATCCTGTCCTGTAGAGTTGCTATGTGTCGGCATCTACTCATGGCAGTGAGGTTTTGATTGACCAGTGTGCTAGTCTGGGTAGACTAAAGAAACAAATCCATAGAAACACGTATGTGTATAAGAGAGAGTTTTATATAAAGGGTAATTATATATTAATTAAGAAAGCATCCCAACCCTGTCCAGTCCAAGCCCATATGTCCGATACCAATCGATAAAGTCCTCTTCAGACTCACGAAATACAGGCAATGACACCAAATGCAGGACGATCACAGGCCCATGGGTAGAAAGGCTTTGGATCCAGTGGCGTTGTAAGCATCTCAGCGCTGGCAGGGGTCTCTACGTAGCTTCTCCAGCTTCAGAGGTCTGGTTGCATCAGGGCAGGTCCATGTGGCTTCTCCAGCTCAGGTCACTAGAGTAGTTCCATGTGTCTTGTCAGCTGCAATGTCTCCCAGAGAGTGAGCAGAGAGTCCCATCTCCACAGAGGGAAAAACAGAGTTCCCAGAATTCTTAGGAGAAGACCATACCCACACAAGACCTCGTTGGTTATATCTTGATTGATAGGCCAGGCTCCACCCCTTCACTCATAATCCTCTGAAATTGACATCAGATTATGTAAGGACCATACCAGGGTTGGGAACAT